GTGTTGGGTAATGGACAAGATAAACTTTATCCTGCATGGTGGGAGGTCGATAAGGTTAGTATTTATTTTTTAAATATTTTAAAGGTGTTCATAAATAAGTGCGCAATTGAATTATTACTTATGATTGCAGGTGTTTATCCATGTTTTGGAACATAATCATTGGTTTCTCGTCGAGCTTCAGCTCCCATCCCTGAAGACAATAGTATATGACAACATGATAAATTACATATCATTGTCTGATTTGAGAGATATTATTAAGGGATGGAGCTCTCATTTGGCTAAATTCTTGGATGCGATTAATTATTGGACTTATTCTGGAAACAAGAAGCCAAAGAAGTTCAATGTTACAGTTATCAGAGACGAGACCGCACCACAACAAACACAGGGAGCCAGAGGGGATTGTGGTCCTCTCGTATGCATGTGCTTGGAGCGTTTGACGATAGGAAGTATAAAGTTTCTACCTCTCACCTATAGAGATAGAGGTGTAGTAGGCATGTGGTTCCGGCATTTTATGGCTAGAGCAATATATGCGAGACGCTGCCTACCTGTATCCGCGTTATGAAAGTGTCCATAAACAATTTGTAAGTCAAATGCAAGTGTTGTTAAGTACCTAGAATTCAATAATTTGTTGTTTGTTGGTTTTAGATGTGTAGAAAGTGTTGTTTGAGCAAATGTTTGGTTTCTGCAAGTTAATCCTGAAGTGAGCTGCGTGAAATTGATGTATGGGTGTATAAACAACTGTCTGGGTACACTTTTTTTGATTGTTTAATTGATTCTTAAAAGTTGATTTGTTTAATTGATGAGGAAAATAAGAATTATTATTATTTTTTGCTTGTTTAATTGATTGAAATGTAAAAGTTGATTTGTTGATTTCAATCTACATTATATTGAAGGCAAAAGACCTGTTGAAGGTACACTTTCGTAATGATAAACTCAAAATCGCAATGCGAAAGCCAAAATCGCAACGCGAAAGTCAATTCGCGTTGCGATAGTCTAATACGCTTTGTGATTTTCTCATTGCGATAGTCAAATTCCCATTGCGATAATCAAATTCACGTTGCGATAGTCAAATTCGCGTTGATATAGTCAAATTCGCGTTGCAATTTTTGCGTTGCGATAGTCAAATTCACGTTGCGATAGTCAAATTCGCGTTGCGATATTCAAATGAATGTGTAATAAGTGATAACAACTGAACAGATCATAGTAATGTTCAAACTCAAGTTACTAATACATGCCTAACTGAAAATGTTAAAAGTTTACACATAAAATACACATAATACAACGTTTGCATTTAAAAATCACCTAAGTTAATAGTCCTAAAAGGTGAAGCCAGTTGTGATTGGGATTTTGATTTTGATTGTGATTTTGATTGCCTTTTGCTTGACACCATATGATCTTTGGATTTTGATGAGGATCCATATTTTGGTAAAGGAAAAGATAATTGTGATGGCACTGGTGATCCACATGTCAACCTTGTATGACCACTTTCCTTGCACCGACTACATGTCGATCTCTTCTTCTCTTCACCCTTAGACGGTATACGATCGTGACTTTTTGGTCGGCCAGGTAGCCTTTTGTCCATGACTGGTGGCAAAACTGTTTGTAAGTCATCTGGTATGTCCCACTCAGAAGGATGTGGAATAGGGTATATAATCTCGGCATAAGTCTGTCGATATACTTCTGTAGTGTAGCAATCCATAGCGTATGCGCTTGAATCATCTTGGTTTAGATGAAGAGCAACTTTTATAACATGGCCACACAGATAACCAGATGTTTGCCATTTCATACAACTACACGTCTTTGCATTTAGATTGACAAGCCCATTTAAGTTATTATCCAATAATTCAAACAAAGTGTTTGAACATGGTTCAACTCTCCATGACGTTGACTTCACAACACGTTTCGTTATCTTTTTTTCAGTCCATGGTATAACACGATGTTCCAATGTTCCTGTAAATTTAAATAAATAATACTTTGTAAAATATATGATAAGTTACGAATTTAAAGAAATAATACCTGTATGGTTTCTTTTCTTGTAGTACCACTGTTGAATAGAGGCTCGAAAAAACTCCATTAACATAGTAATGGGTAATTTCCGGGAATGACGACTTAAAGCGTTGATTGATTATGCACTATTAGACGTCATGAAACTATATCTTGCTCCAAGTTGATGTACTCTTGACCATCTTTCAAACCCGACATCTTCTAGTGTTTGAGCACACTGAGGCAAAACACGTCTTAAACAATTTATATGCTTATTAAAATCCACTTCCCGATAAGCTTTTACAGCCTTCCAGTATGTCCATTTGTGATTTTTTATACCAGCAGACCTTGATTTTAGATTTCTATACAAATGAACACCACAAAGTCCATGAAAAGCATCTGGGAAACACCTTCTAACAGTGTTGTCAATTGAGTTTGCCCTATCGGATATGATTGTCAGATTGCTAATAGGACTTATGCAATCCCTAAGATGCCCCATAAACCATGTCCATGAATCAGAGGTTTCAAATTTGCCAACCCCGTAATCTATTGGCAATATCGCATTGTTAGCATCCATGACTACTGCTAATAAGTTTACTCCAAGGTATCAACATTTCAAATATGCTCCGTCCACTATAATAACTGGGCGCATGCATGTAATAAATGAACGAATCTACAAAATAATATACACAAAAAAATAATCATTTAAATGTGAATGCATGTACCTAACAAAAATGAGTCAACAAAATATTGATTTACTAACCGCAGCACCAATGGCGATAAACAACAACTCAAAGCGTCCATCTCTATCTGTTTTGATATGAGTTACCGACCCAGGATTTTTCAGCTTTAAATTGTGACAATAAGCCGATAGTTGGGAAACGATGCTTCTGGCGACCCCCTCAACAATTCCAAGGAATAACATTTGGCTCTCCAAGCTTGAAAATATGAGATACTAATCTTGAACCGAGCATTCATGTCAGTCATAATTTCATGTCCCCGATATACCCTGTCATTCAAAACATTAACTCAGCCAGAAAACCACCCAACACCTTGTTTGCCTGTCTATGGTGAGGAAAAACTTGGGTTCTTGAACATGTATGTTTATCAATAAAGTCCTATGAGATACTAATCTTGAACCGAGCATTCATGTCAGTCATAATTTCATGTCCCCGATATACCCTGTCATTCAAAAACATTAACTCAGCCAGAAAACCACCCAACACCTTTTTGTTTGCCTGTCTATGGTGAGGAAAAACTTGGGTTCTTGAACATGTATGTTTATCAATAAAAGTCCTAACTTGAAACATTTCACAATCTTTTATCCTCTTTGCAGTCATACGCCACGTACAGTTTTTGTCAATCATACACCTTGTTTCGAAACGATCTTTGCTTGATTTGTTAACTTTTAGTTGATAGCCATCTTCCACACATTTCGTATACAAAGCTATCTTCAAGTCTTCCTTTGTATCAAAACAATCATCTTCCCCGATATACCCTGTCATTCAAAAACATTAACTCAGCCAGAAAACCACCCAACACCTTTTTGTTTGCCTGTCTATGGTGAGGAAAAACTTGGGTTCTTGAACATGTATGTTTATCAATAAAAGTCCTAACTTGAAACATTTCGCAATCTTTTATCCTCTTTACAGTCATATGCCACGTACAGTTTTTGTCAATCATACACTTTGTTTTGAAACGATCTTTGCTTGATTTGTTAACTTTTAGTTGATAGCCATCTTCCACACATTTCGTATACAAAGCTATCTTCAAGTCTTCCTTTGTATCAAAACAATCATCTTCCAATCATCTTCCTTTGTATTAAAATTGCTTATTTTGATGCTGATAATGAATTCTGTTCAAGTTCGGTTAAAGTAGAGATTGTTAAGCCAGAACCCGGGAAAGTTATATGCAGAAGCAAAATAGATTCAGGGAGGGGCTAACTCGGATATTTTAGAGTGGCCTGTCTGCTGATTGAATTTTTTCTTATTACCTTTAGGTGTGAAATAAGCGTCTATTAAAAAGGCAAGACTCAACATGAAGACCAGGTATACAATAGAATAGTCTGGTTCTTATCTTTCTTTGGAATGACATGGAATAATTTTGATTTGTTGCGTCTGATTGAGAAAAAAGAAGTTGCTGCCATATAAAGACAGATAGTTTTGTGCTGGATGCAAAAGCATGTTATGGGATCAAAATGAGCAGTTCTATTATATACAACCAGTTCTCTTTCTACCCAAATTGAGTACAGGACCAGTGCATTAAAAATGTCTTGAGTTGTTTTTTTTAAGTTAATGATCACTCTCTTGGAAAGAGGTGGGAGAAGGAAATAGAAGGAAGATTTAAGAGAGGTATTTATGGGCTTCGTTTGAAACTTGCCTTGGAGACTTCTCTTGATGGAAATTCTCCCCTCTATAAATATCTCTCCAGATCACCAACTTATGATCCCGTCTTTTATTTTCTTTTAAGGTTCCCCTCCAGATTACCAATTGAAACTATGAAGCCGTCAGTTTTAAGTTTTAACTGTTCTTTGTTATCTCTACATAGTTAGTTGATCCCCATGTAAGTTGAGTTCCCAAAGTGTTGCCAACTCCTCCACTTTCTTTCAAATCCCACTGAATATTTTTGTTCAACCTTGCATGACTGACTAAAATTTGAAGAATCTATATGCATTTATCGTTGATGACGGTATTTTTGTTCATAGATTTCCTTGATGATGTTAACTTAATATTGCATTCATTTTCCTACTACCATATTTCTTTAAGTTTACAATTTTTATTTTCTAACAGAAATTTGTCAAAACCTAATATTTTCTCTTTTTTCAACAAATGTTATAAGGCTGTTGAAGACTCGATGGATATGGAGATTGATTTGTCCAATCTAGGAAATGTTAATACAATTTTTGCAGCGTTATTCAGGTAGGCTTAATATAAATGTTAGAACTTGTTTGCATAATTTAGTTACTTCCAGGTTCCTGCTTCTAAAATATATATCTTCAGGAAGCTCTAAATGGAACTGTTACAGTTAGACCCCTTCCTATTGGAAGTTTGGAACATCAGTTAGTGGAAAGGTGTGTACTTCCTGTCTATTCAATGCACCGTACACTTCCAGATATTTTCCCAAGTTCTCATCCATTTTGCTGCAGGTAGAAAAGCAACGTGCCCACTTCTTTGGTGTAACAATAAACGATGAACAAGCTGAGTCTGGGATTGTTGTTAGGGTAACTTCAACAGCACAAAGCAAATTCAAGGTGCATTCTCTGTGAAATTTCTCTTTGAACTGAATGTCTTCTTTTCAAAATATAGTTTAGTTGTTCGCTAACCCATAACATCTCCTCTCTGAAGCTCTTCTATTGTATGTTTCTATGTGCACGTCCGTTATGCATGCTCATGTATGCATATCTTCTAAGTGAGCATTATTTCAAAATCCTATATTAACTCAGTGTTTCTTGTGTAAAACTTTCAGTTACTTTACTTTGAACAGGACGTCAATGGTGGCTACGGTTTGGCCTTACAGGTATTAAGCACTTGTCTTTGATTCTTGTCATCGCCGTTGTTTTATTTGCTTATAATTTTTGTATTAAATGATTGACTTTAATTTCTAGTCGTCAAGACATGATTATTTTTATTGCATTTATTTGTTGAATGATGGTAGTTGCTATACCATTCTATTAGCTTGGGTGGAAACATGGAGTTACAAAAAAATAAAGTGGGAAGCCTAGAGGAAACCTCATGAATGATTTTTAAAGAAATTTCTACCTATTGGCAATGCTATCATTCAGTGCATGATCACGATGAGTTTGGTCATACATAAATATTATATATCTAAAATTTTTCTATTCTTGGTCATGTTGGTATTAATTCTCTGCTTTTGTAGGAAATATCTCACTTCAAGTTCTTGTTGTCAAGACGTGAAGTTTTATTACATCTATTTGTTGTTCAATAGTCGTGGCTATATCATTCTATTAATATAGGTGGAAACATATAGTTAAAAAAATCATAAAGTGAGAAGGCTAGTGAAAACCTTATGAATGATTTTTAAAGAAATTTCTAGCTATTGGCGATTCTAACAATCAGTGCATGATCGTGATGATTTAAGTTTTGTCTGATTGATATATATATATCTGAAAATTTTCTATTTGTGGTCAGGTTGGAATTTGAGAAAACTTAAAATTAGTGGTCCTAGAGTCCTCTTTCACCCTTAAAAGGCCACCTTTGTTTTCTTTTTTTTCCCTATCCACCCTTAGTATTTCATGTGTGATCTACTACAGTGAATTATTTAGACATGCTGCTAATATTTAAACAACTTCTGTCGAAGGTCAAATTTGTCATCTTGGCTGTAAATAATAGTTGTTAGCAGTTGGATCGGTGGTCATGATAGTTCAATCTCTTGTTTTATTGACTACCTAATTCTCAGAAAATAAAATTTCAGACTTGCAAAATTCTGAAGTGTTGTTATTTTCTTTTTATATTATATTCATCAGTTACTTGTATATGATATCAATGATAACACTGGTATTATGTATTTATTCATGCCATTATTTTCTCTGAATTGGCTGGTATTCTTGACCTGTGTTGCTCTTGTTTTTCATTTTCCTTGAAATATATATATCTAAGACCTGTGTCAACAGATATTCGGACACTAGTGTGTGGATATTACCTTTTGAAGACCCTCCAAATATAAAAATAAAAATTTTAAACTTGTGTTGGACACATTATTTTCTTTGAAGATGACCCGACATCTATTAATGTGAGGTCAGCCATCAAGCTATCCACCGATAAAGTCATATTTTGGAACTTAGATAGGAACCAAGCTGCCATTTTGTATCTAATTAAAAAACATAGAAAAACAATATCTAACAACAACAACAACAACAAAACCCTATTCCCATATGCAATGGGGTAAGGGGAAGGTGGGGTGGTAGGCTGCCCCCAACGCCAGGTTGAGAGCAGCTTCCGTGGAAGACCTCCAGCAGTAAGAAAATTAAAAATAAAGATAAAATATAATGCATAGATAAATAAGTCAATAAATACATAGTTGAAATAGTTGAACAATTTTCATACGCTGTCTTCATATGTGCGTCTGTAATTTGAAGTAATCCCTGCGTGAAAATCTCTGCTTATAGACAGAAACGTAAGTCCCGGCTAAATTTAAAAGAGGAAACATGAAGAGAAGGATAAACAGAAGTCAGCGATAGCAAGCTGCGATAAAGAATAAAGTTAAAATGGTTAAAACCTAAACTAAGGTAACACTACTCCGCCACCCTAATTCTAAGCCTACATAAATTCCAATGACAGAAACATATAAAAAGTAGAATTCATGGAAATTACTACAAAAGCATTAAAAAAGAAGACTGAGATGCCCACACTACTCAGCTACCCTGGTCTTAAGTCTCCATACTTTCCTATCGGATGTCATGTCCTCGGTAAGGGCTAAATCCTTCAAATCAGATCTCAAGCAGTCTACCCACTTCCTCCTTGGTCGTCCTCTCCTTCTGGCACCGTCGACTGTTATCGACTCTACCCTCCTGACCGCATCCGACGGTTGTCGCCTAAGAACATGCCCAAATCACCGTAGTCTTCCCTTCCTCAATTTTTCGGATACAGGCACCACCCCCAAAGACAATTTCATTTCTCATCTTCCAAATTGACCAGAATATTGCCCCTGGAATAAAAGTCCAAACAGTCGAGTATGGCACCAGCTCAAACGAGGTTGCAATTAATGAAGCAAGACTTTTTGGGACAACAAAAGAAATATTCCACATCATCAAGAAGCTCATCCATATCCCCATGATACATTACATGACACAAACTAGTGGTAAACAGTTTCAGGATACATGCCACACAACAGATAATATTAGACCACGATTCCAAGTACCTTTTTCTTAATTAACTTCGTTTTAACTGCCAAATTTTTATTTACCACATGCCACACGAAATATTCCACCCGGGGTGGAGCAACCCCTAGTCAAACACTCCTCGATCAAGAAAAACTGACAATCGACTTATCAAACATTTGTCGAACGTAAGACTTCATTGAAAAACTTCCATCCCCTTTCCCTTTCCAAACATAGTTATCCTCCAACCCATTCGAGGAATGTAAATTACTTAACAAAGAATTAAGTTCAATTTATTATTCCATCTCCCATTCTGCAAGGTTTATTCTCATTTGGATATCCTAAAACCAACCAAAAGACACAATTCTTCCTAAAATCTACGATCATCCCATCCTTATTAGTCGATAGAATGAACAAGTGAGGAAAACGAAATTTCAGTGGAACACCATCCAACCAAGCATCGTGCCAGAACGAGATAGAATCACCATTGCCTACTCTGAGATTAAGGTTTCCCCTAAAATAGTACTCAAACTCGTCACTAGAAAAATAGTTTCTAAATATCCCTTTCCAAATCCAAGAAGCTCTTGATGAGACCAAATTATCCAAAGCAAAGGATCTTGGGTTTAGATTGTTAACACAACATATAACCTTCTTCCACAGTTTATTTCTCACTAACAAACTTGCACATCTGCTTCCACAAGAGAGCTCTATTCAAGAGGTCCAAATTAGTCATCCCAAGACCTCCAATCTCTTTCGATTTACACACCAAAGACCATTTCACCCAATGCATGCTCTTCCTCTCTTTCGAACCTCACCACAAAAAATCAACCATAATGGAATTCAACTTGTTCAACACACATGAAGGAATTTTGAACACAAACATAAAATAGATAGGCAAAGAACTAAGGACATATTTAATAAATACTACTCTCCTAATTAAGGACAAAGTCACAGATTTCCAGCCAACCAATTTCTTCTGAAACCTCAGAATGACAAGCTCCCACAACAACGTCGAGTTCCTCTTAGCTCTTAGAGAAAGTCTCAAATATTTCGAAGAAAACGACCCCACCGAGCATCCAATAATATGCGTCCATTCATTGAGGGTTTCTATTTCTAAATTAATCCTGTAGATCTTGCTCTTCACCAAATTCAAGTTCAACCCAGACATCATTTTAAAATATTAAGAACCCTATTGACATTCCTCAATTCCCCTATATAATCTTTACAAAATATTATTAGACCATCATCAAATTGTAGATATGACAGGATAATGGATCGCTCATGATAGCCAATCTCAAAACCTCGAAATAACCTAGAATCAACAACCTTTGATAATAATAAATTCAACAACTAGTCTGTTGAGTCAATCGAATTGATGAAATAGCCAATAGGGGTGAATTGGTAATTAAATTTTTTTATGGAAGCTTGAGAGAAAAATATAAAAATTGAACACAAGAATTTAGAGTGGTTCGACTTTATCAACCAAAGTTTACATCCACTACCTTAGCTAGCCACACTAAGGATTTCCACAAATTCACTAATTTGTATATACCTTTGAGGATAAGGTGTATCCTTATAACTCCCTTAAGAATTATATCTCAAATTCTTGAGACACTTTCTCAAAGAGAAAATTACTAATTGCAAACTAATAAAATCAGCACTAGGAATGTGTTTGCACAATTTAAGATCAAATAAGAACACTTGAGAAAGAATACAAATGAGTACAAAGAGTGTTCTTTGAAAGCAAAAGGAATATAGAAGAATGTTGATTTGATTTGCCTCAAATTTGTTGTTTTTGGCTTTCTCTTTTGTCTCTTATCCCTCAATCAATTCCAAACGTTTGAGTTATTGTGAGAGTGAATAGAGCTGTTGAGAGGTAGTTTCCCGCATTAAATGTTGTTAAGAAGATTGTAATATCGGGTACTCAGTTTCTCAGTATCGATACTCACTGAATTAAATACAAATATTTAACCATTGGGAAGCTATAGTATCGATACTGCCACAAAGGTATCAGTACTACTATATTCAGTAGTATCATTAGCTTAATTTGGTTGATTGATTTATGAAGATGTCATTTTTTCTTTGTTGAATTTGAAGCCTCAAGAAAAACGAAAGCTCCCCCCATCATGCTCATCTCAAATTCACATAGCATTAATTTAGCAAATTCTTGGCAAAGAATATCATTAGTAGAACAAAATATTATATCATCAACATAAATTTGAACTACTAATAAATCTTTGCCTTTACATTTTATAAACAAGGTAGTGCCAATCTTTCCTTTTGAAAAACCTTTTTCAATAAGAAAATTTAACAATCTTTCATACCAAGCTTTAGGAGCTTGTTTTAAACCATACAAAGCTTTTGTCGGTTTGAAAACATAATTTGGAAATTTTGAATCCTCAAAACAGGGAGATTATTCTACATACACTTCTTTTATAAAACTATTTAAAAATACACTTTTAACATCAATTTGAAATAAAGTAAATTCATGATAACATGCAAATGCTAATAACATGTTAATAGCCTCCATCCTAGATACGAGAGCATAAGTTTCATCAAATTCTATTCCCTATTCTTGAATGTACCCTTGAGCAACAAGTCTAGCATTTTTTCTCACTATATTACCACCTTCATCTACTTTATCCATAAATACCCATATAATACCTATAGTAGACTTATTACTAGGCTTTTTAACTAATGTCGACACTTGATTTCTCTTAAATTGATTTAACTCATCTTGCATAGCCATAATCCAATGT